AAATGGCTTAACGTTAATGTCAAATAATCTAATTAGGTGTGTATATATTTCTTTTTATAGGTACTTTATGTGAAGGTCGTTAATTCAAATACTATAGTTTCACTTCATAATGATGGCATTATTCAAGTTTTTTCCGTGACGCAAAAAAAGGTTACGCAGCAATATTCGTTTCTTTCAATGGTTTTTGATGACACATTGCATAGTGCGGCCATTAACAGAGAGTGGATTCTATGTGCCACCCAAGACCTTATTTACCTTTTGAAGTGGCAATTCGTACCGGATACATTTGAGATAGATGTAACAAAGCCGCCTATCTTCAATTGGAAAATGGATGCACCTGCTGTAGTTCCATGGTGTGGTTGTCTTGCTGGTAAGGGACGTTCTGTTTTAAGCAATTGTTCATCAACTGGTCCTATTTGCGTTGTGAAACCTGGTGGTAGCGTCAAATTTTTGACTGAACCTGGGCAAGAAGGTGTTGATTCTCTTAGAGGTTTTAAGCTGTTAACTTTGACCGAACAACCTACTTTTATGGATGTTGACGATCGTTTTTTATTGATTGGAACAAAGCAAGGAAAATTGATACGCTGTGGATTTGATGATACGCAGTTACCTCTTGTAGAATAAAACTGTAATTCTATTAACAACATTTCATAGAATTTTTCTTAATAAAATGTGTGACTTTTGTGTATTTGCCATGTACGACGATGAAAATCTTATATAAACTATACAAGTTTGTCATTTCTGGTTAGAAGGATAGCAATAATAGGGAGTTTATTTTTATTAATCGGCTAGGCGTGTGAAACTTCAATTGCTTTATCTATAATATATTCACGTTTTTTTGCAGATAACATATATATTGTATATATACCAAAATAAAAAATAAAAAAAGACGTGTTTCATGACAAATGCAAAAAAAAATTTGTAAACGTTAACATTCTAGTTTTTCGTCAAATTTTCAAATTTGTAAACTAAAAAAAAAAAAAAGGCAATAACAAAGAAAATGAAACCTTCTGTTCGTTTTAGCACTCCCTTTGACGATGAAGACGAAGAAGACACTCTGTTAGAAAGGGATAACAATTCTCACTTGAATTTCAGCGGATCACCTTCGAGTTTTAGAAATGGTCGTAGTCCTGGTAAAACTAGTCATAACCCACAAAAACCATTTCAAGGGCAGACCTTTGTAGTATACGGTTATGATGAAACTCAAAAACAAAATTTAGAAGAAATTATAAAACGTCAAGGCGGTTCCGTATCTCAATCGCTCAGCAATCGGGTAATTTCTTTTATGCTAAACGACATTATTATTATTATTATTTATTATTATTTTTCTAATTTACTTATTTATTATTTTTTTTACTATTACATTTATTTATTTTCGTAGACAACATATTTTGTCACAGCCAAATCAGAGGAAAATTGTGAGGAAATTGACGAAATGAGGCGTTTTAATCATAGTACTCACATAGTTTCCGAAGAATTTATTTACGATTCGGCAAATAACATACATCATTTACGTGATGCGGAGGTATTTGAGAATATTGGGTATGCATTTCAATAAATGATTTAATATTATTATGTTATGATTTCTGCTCTTTTTTTTTTTTAAAAAAAAAAGGTCCTTTCTTTCAGCTCTTAACGACTAATTTATATATTTTTTCATTTTTATGGTTCGTTTACAGGAACTCAAGACGACGACGACGACGACAAGGTCAAATGAGAGATCCAGATGATGATGATGATGATGATGATGATGAAATACGTCGACCTATTAATCAAAAATCGAATTCTTATAATGGGCCTGTAAGCGCAAAATATTCGAGACGTCATAGTTTTCATCAAAGTAATAGTTGGGGTCCGGATTCTACGAATGGTGACCATAGCCCTTATTTATCGGATGAAAGACACAGTGAGTTAAACAACAGTGGTTCTGAGTTGGAAAGATCATCTGAAGACACTGATTCATCAGAATATGGTGATAATGATGTGTTCGTAACTGTGGAAGTCGAAGCAAGCTATAATACGGATAACTCTACGTTAAATCCAAATGCTGCACAATTGTCTCAAGATATGGCAAAGGAGAGGATGGAATGGCAAAGTTTTTTGGCTTCCGTACTTACCGGTGAAGTCATCAAATCAGAGAAACGTCGTCTGTCAGGAAGTTCACGCCAGGCGTCTAACATTTCTTATCATCTATGGTTTCAAATAAACACAACATTACGTCGTTTACCTAGTAATTTAAACGAAAGTCGTCGGCAGATTGATGAAATTCTTCAAGAGGTTATAGATTTTGAAGTAAAACCCGATGACATACCAGCTTTTGAACAAGTTGTTGAAATTCTACACAAAGTTGATGTGTGTGAAAGTTTTTATCCTACGCGCAAAGCAATGATGGCAGATAAAACTTTATATAAGTCAACAGAATTTCAATATAATTTGGATGCTTTAAATTCTTGGCTTACGGTGACTAGAAGTTTTCAAACGCAATTAAAAATTTTGCAAAATTGGACTGGAAGTGACGATTTAGAAATTGCTAGGCCTAAAGATGCTCCAGCTGACGCTGAAAATCCTTCTTTTCTTGAACGAATATTAAAAGAAAACAGTTTAAAACAGACATTTGAAAAACGAACACTTTCCACTTTGACTTCGCTTTTGTTAAAAGCTAAACGTGTCATGATCGAAAACGCTGAGATATTTGAGAAAATGAAATTACCACCTTATATTGATGAATTACCTCTACTTTTAAACTTCCCCACAAAACTCATGAAAGAATGTATGATATTTTTACTTGAATACGTTAACATTCTTAACGATCCTACGACGATGATGGTGCAACAAATGATGGATGATTTTCAAATTTCCCTTTCTTTGGCGTGTAAGATCAAACATCAATACTTTGAGCTTGTTAAACCTGCAAAAGGATGGATGATACCTTCTTCTATTGATGAAAATTATGATACTGTGTTACTGGAATCATTAAGATTCTATTTTAAGTTATTGCAGTTGAAAGTTAAATCAGGTTTTAAGGCTATTTTCTTTAAAGAAGCAGAAATTTTAGATTCTGAATGGGCTTTTTTGAGTGGAATTTGTCGACACATTGCAGGCGGTGAGACTGAGACTGCCGAACAATTTTGGTAAGTGGTCTCAC